GTGATGTTTCAAGTGGTAAGATTATGAGCTTTAATAAGTAAAATTATCCCAGCTACAATGACAGACAACAAATATTACATTTATAGTATTACAACTAAAGCCGTTTTTGACACCGCCACCGCAGTTTGTCCTTCATGAGCCTTCGMAGACAAGATGGCGGTGCAAGATGGCGGCTGCCTGTGTGGCGGCCCGCGACCATGGAGATATAAACAGCTTTTTATAAGGTAAAAATAATAAAACAAGGTCTTTGTCTGCAATGATGAGACATGTTTTTTATTGTTGTCATTAGTGATTATCTCAATTTCGGCTAAAAGAATTGACAAAATCCTACACACTGTGCCTTTAAAGTTAAATTATGGCCGACCCACCAACCCAAATCACGCCCCTTCTTCCTCCTGATGAAGAGTGAAGGTGTCTGTAGGTCAACCTGCAGCAGCCGACTTCTTTCTTTCTCCCTGACTTTTTCCAGGACCCTCATTAAAGTTTGTTTCAGGCCCAAACAGGAGCAGCGACCCACAGGGATCCGGTGTTTACACTGTAACCACACGGGGATGAGGGGGGTGCGTGAGAGGTGTTCACACTGTAAACACTTCACCAAACTGGGCTGAAGGCTTTACAGACTGGGACCATTGATCTCATGTTCCTCTGCTGTCACTGAAACCAACTCCAGAGTACATGCTCACTCACTGCTGAAAGAGAAGACAAGGTCCGTACAACCTTTGCCTGCGTCTGTTAGCAAAATATCTCATGAACCACTGAATGGATCATTATGAAACGCTCACAAAGTAATCACTGGGTGTACGTCTACACCTGATACCTTTCGGAGTCACTAAAATTGAAGATGACTGACAGGTACTCAAAATGATCAAACACAAAAATGGTCACACCTCATGGTATTTTATTTATTTATTATTTTACCGATATTGTGCTAAAACCAGGTGTGGTAGCATCAGTGGTGGGATGTAACAAAGTAGGGGAGATCGGGGACAGTTGCAACACCTTTTGCATTTGACTCTGTTACTCAGAGATGGTTTGCATTAGACAAAACAAATTTTAGTACAATAAACAAATCTGTCTATTAATAGTCAAAACCATTTATAGATGATTAAAGCATGTACTTTCTTCACAATTTGCATTTGAAAATGAAAAGTCAGATGTTGTAACTGACCCCGGTGACGGGGACAGTTGCAACATTGGGGGTGGTTACAACATATTATTAATGCAATATATTTCACTGTAAATAAAAGGTTTATTATTTTTATATTTATATTATTGCTAAATTAATAAAACCTGTAAGTTCTAATGATATTACAGTGTTATTTATTTATTGTTTTTGATCAAATGATGAATATAGATTTGCCTTGATGAGTAGACCTTATCTACAGATGTCAAAGACTAATTGGTATAAAACACAGTTGGCTTTTAGAGACAAGAATAATAGAACAGTTTGTGAGGCAATTAACTTTTGTTTTGCCTATTGTCACTGTACGCCTGCATTATGCAACATTTACATTGAAACAAACTGGGATTTTAAAACCATTGTTGAAAACAACAACTGTAGAAAATACATCTTAAACACTTTTATGTTTTAAACTATAAAATGGTCATAAATACCCAATACCTTTTTAAGTGTAAACTCAATTTCAACATCTTAATATTACCGATATGCGCTCTGTTTTTATATGGATTTAAAATTTCCTGTCAGCCATGATAAAACCTCATGTGTTAGCTATATAAGCTGATCTTGATGCATGTTTACCACATTGTTTACCACATTAGTTATAAGTAAACATATCACTTGTTTAAGTTTGAGCTGGATCACAAAAAACAGTGAAAACAGTATAACAAAAATAATGCTAAACAAACAAAAAAAATACTTTGGTACCTCAAAAACAGTTTTTTTTTTTTTTCAATTAAACCCTGGAGCAGTTTTTGAATCTGCTTACTTTTTCTTCGCAAGGTGGGTCATCTAACTGAGCATGTACAGTGAGAGTGTCATGACTGTAGCTTGTTTCTGTTTGGAGAAAAATGACATGTTGCAACTGTCCCTTGTTGTTACTGTCCCCGGTCTCCCCTACTTAGTGACACATCATTGATGTATTAAAAATAGACAAACAATAGGCTCACTTCATTATACAGTATTGTAGACCATTAGGGAATACATATTGAGCAAGTACTTTTACTTTTAATACTATAAGGATTTTTAAAAGTAGGTACTTACTTTTACTCATGTAAAATTGTTAATGTGGTACTTTTTGTCTGTTTATCTGTACTTTTACTTAAGTACAGTTTGAGTACTTTCTCTACCACTGGGTAGCAGCTGAGAGTAGCTCATAACACAGTCTGGGTGTTACACGTTGTCTAACATCTTTGCTTACTTAAAGTGCCTGTGACATGTATATTATTCAAATACAAAAAGTCAAGGAAACATTTTTTAATGTAAGGAAATTGGCAGAAAACACACAGTTTTGCACATTTTGTCTCATAAAAGGCCTATTTTCTTTAGGACTTGGCTCAGCCAAAGTGAAACAGGAAGTGACATCAAAGAGGAACTCTTTAAGAAACTGAACTCTCTGGCCTTTGTTTATTAAAACATTATTATTTAAACTCTGATTCTTCTTTGATAGTGACTCAAAATAATTTAAAGAAACATCAAACTCTTCTCTACAGTCTCTGCTGTTAGCTAGTTTAGCAACACTGTTCAGACATTCCCCTTTTTTTATCACTTCCTGTGACTTCACATGCAAATATCTCAACAACTGTTCATCTCAGCGGCGTGAAATTTGTTTTGTAACATCTCATTAGTGTTGTCTTTCCAAAACTGCATTCATATTTATTACAAACATTTGATGTCACAGGCACTTTAAGTGATTTTGATTTGATTTATTGATTTAACAGGAAAAGATTACTAAAAATCAAGCCTGACTCAGCATAATTGCTGTTTTACAGCAGGTTCCTGTTCTGCAGCACATAAAACACTCAGAATTACAGCATCACAATCACATCATTATTATTACACCATAGACACAAAGACAAACAAGCATACCAAACTCAGCTCTACTTGTCTGTTAGCAAAATATTTTATGAATTATGGGACGTTTTTTTTATTTTTTTTTCTTATTTTTATTTGAAGCACTCAGGAAGTAAAAAGGGGATCAGATTGGCCCAGCAGCACAGGCAGATGCACTCATGTCTGAAACATCTCCATCAAACAAAGTAAAAACAAAAAAAAAGAAAGAATTCAAGCTGGAACATGAGACTGGTTTTATTTTCAAATATGTGAAGGTAAAACAAACCTGATCAGACACTGAGCAGAAAAGGTTTACATGTTTTTATCACAGTATTGGTTTCATGTGTAAAATCAGAAAACACAAAAAAAAAACGGCTCAGAGTCTGAAACGTTCATTTTGTTTAGTGCTTTTATTTCATATTTTTCTATATATTTATTTATTTCAAAGGACAGTGCACATTAATCAACATTTAAAAAATACAACTGTGTCAGAGTTAGAGCACAATGACTAATTTACATCTGTATTTATGTTAAAACAGCACCACCCAGTGGACAAAACAGATTAATACTCCCACAAATTAACACAAGAGATACTCTTTCTCAAGAGTTAGGAGGTAAAGCTAAACACTGATCTGGGAGCATTTGCTCCCAGTTTCCAGCTCAGTCTTTCACCAGATCAGTGCCTTATCAATACTTTTGCATAAAGACTTCATCTTCAGAGTTAAAATGCAACAACAGAGAGGAAACAGGGCAGATATTTATATCAACTGCTCTGCAATCTTTTATATACTGTAGTCACGTTCATTAAACCTGGGCTTCTCAAGCCATTTGGGTCTGGGGACCCCTTTACAAGGGTGAAAAAATTCCAGGGACCCCCTCATAAACCCCATGCTGTTTTAAAAGATAATTTAATGTCATTTCAACCTCTCCGATATATATATCCAATATATATTTTTATTAAGTTTATTATGTTTGTTTTATTAGTTCATTGTTCGCCATGCATTTTTTAAAATAAAAACCAAATTAGCAATTTAGTGAAATTTTCTGAGGACCTCCAAGATACCTCTCACAGAGCCATGGGGGTCCTGGGACCCCAGTTTGAGAACCTCTGCATTAAACAAAACCCTGAATCACAGAGGATTAAAGCTGTTGCTGCGTTCACACTGCAGGCCTTTTTAAAAAAAAATTTGTATGGACGTTCACTTTATATTTTAAATGCGACCGTCAGGCTCCAGTGTGAACTCTCCATAGTATTATGTGAGTTTACATTCAGCCCGCTGTTCACTGAAGTAACTATAGAGGCTACATGTTGTAGGATGGCTCAGTGGTTAGCACTGATGTCTCACAGCAAGGTCCTGGGTTTGATCACCTGGGCTCTTTCTGTGCGGGGTTTGCATGTTTTCCTCGTGCTTGAGTGGTTTTTCTCCAGGTACTCCAGATCTCCCCCAACCCTAAAAATATGTACAATAGGTTGACTTCAGGCTCAGGCTGCCGTTGAAAAAGAGATCTGCGATCTCAGTGGGATTTGCCTGATTAAACAATTGTAAGAAATATTCGTGTTCAAAGACTGAAGTCACTAGAAAACCACCAATGTTAAATAATATGATTGTTAGACGGAATAAAACCATACAAAACCAGAATTCTGGAGTGAGGATTTATTGTCACCGCTGACAGGAAACACACACTGCCGGCCAACCAGGAAGTCGATCCATTTATAGAGTCTTCAGAGTCCCATGTTCGCCCCCTACTGACCTACGGCTGAATCACGGGCATTCATACACAATTCTCCCCTACTGTTCTCATAACGGATAAATATGTGTTGTTATAGATATTTCGGACATGTAACTAATCTATATCAATCAACACATTATAGATGAAACATTATGAAAAGGAAAACCTAAACATATAGTGTTGTGCTTTTAACATCAGTACTAATCTGTAATAACTATAAATTTCTTCACAATGGTTAAATAAAGTTAGCATGTTGATTATGAAGTTGTTGTGCAGCCAGAGCAGATTAATAATCAGTATTAATATTAGTAATATTTTAACCTGCCACTGGCTGGCTGTTCCGGGACAGCATTTTAATTTTGGAACAAAGCGACGTGCTGGATGAAAAGCATAGATCCAGTAACTTTAGTATCAATTACCTAATTTCCCTCTGGGATCAATAAAGTATTTTTGAATTGAATTGAATTGAATACAGTCTGAGACCAATGTTGTCATCTTATATTTCTGTGGATTCTCAGTCATCCAGGACATGGAAAATTAAAAGAAAAAAAGACAAAGCTACTGGACTTCTGTTCTGTAGCTGACGACGTGTGGAGCTACACGATTTAACCTGTATGATTCGAGGTTATCATTATCTTTACTTGACTGATCTGCTCACCTACACCTCACTGATGTAAAAGTCAGATGAAATACAACATGAGCGTTCAGGCTGCAGTCGCTTTGATCTCATGTATCTGATTTAGCACCACATACAGAAATGGCCTGGGTCGAATAAGAAAAAAAAAACCTGATTTCTCATATTCAGACTGTCAGGAAAAAAATACGATATGAGTCGTATCTGCCTGCTGTGTGAACGTAGTTATTTTAAATTTAAAACAATCACAAACTCAGTTGATCACTTAATAGCTTTGTTTCTAAGTTGATAACGATGCAGCAGTCATTAAAAGTAAACAGCAAGTATTTAGTAAAAGAAAAAAAAATCATGTAAACGTGTGATCAAGTGGTCATTGATTGTGTTTCTAAAATAAATGGCTTAAACCAACTGTTAAAAAACAACACTGTTTTCACCAACACGTTGAAAACTCACTGAGATCAGCTGGTAATCCTGATGAGGAAACTTACTGAGCTGTAAAAGTCAGTAAGAAAAGATTCATATACTTATGATTATTGTTGCACAGACTAATCTGAAGGTCTGTTTCATTAGCTTTTGATGTAATTGGATCAGACTAATGTAGTCATTTTATGTTAATACATTACCCTAATGTTCACATTAAAAACTAATTTCACTTCTGAACTTTAATTATCTATATTTGAGCTCAATCTTAGCATCTTCAACTGCTAAGATAGAAGATGCTCCTGGATGTTCTGGGTGAAGTGTTCTCCGGCGTACAGACCGTGGTGCAGCGTGCCTCCTTGGGCCGCCGCCCATGACATCTGCCTGCTGGAGAAGCAAGCGGCCCAGTTCCCCCGAGGGTCCACCGTCACCACCCCTCCCAGGCCCCCCACTCTGGACTTCATGTAGGCTAGGCTCACGTCGCTGGCAGCCTCCGCAGACTGGCCTGAGAACAGAGGAGACAGGAGGAACTCTGGCTTACAGGCTGGTCAGACTGTAGGAGGAGGAACCATGTTGGTCATGTTAGCAAAACTTCTTATGAACCACAGGACAAATGTGATGAGTAAATGTCTAAGGTGTACAGAAAAATTGGAGCCCAGGTGGCCACGACAAAGAGATGTAAAATTGTTGCCGCTGTAACACACCTGTGCCCCAAAAAACCCTACGTGAGAGCAGTTGAAAAATGAAGAGGGAGGTTTGTGGTGGGGGATGGGGAGGAAAAAACTGAGGGAGCAAGAATGCTCCCACAGGGGGCCAGCTCCCCCACTGACCCCAGTAGGACCCCCGCTCCCCGAGACCCACCCAGGGACTGAGGCCCCCAAGACCTCCTCCTCCGGACAGACCGCCAGGCCCGGAAGACGCCAGATCACGGACAGACAGAGCCCGGAGGACTGCCAGAAACCGGGACCAACAGATCCCCCCCGCCCCAGAGCCGCACAGACCCCCAAGACCCGACCCCCAGCCCCACAGCCAACCGGCAGGCCAAAGAAGCTACCGAACCCCAGCAAGAGTGACCCAGCCGAGAGCGCACACTCAACCGCCGACAGCGCAAGGAGGGACCAAAAGCAAGCCCCCGCCACAGCAAAGGGGCCAGCCAGTCGACCCAGCACAGCCCACCGCCGCCACCACGGCCATCAGCCCAGCCCCAACCCAGAAGAAATACTACACCCACCCCATCATTCAGACAACTCACAGAACATATAGCACGCTAGACACCCA